TTAAAACTGGCTTGCTACCAGTCCAAAGTTGTGGAATCTGCATACTAGCATTTATTTTCGGTGTCAGGTTTAACTCGGAAAGATACGAAAATCAGAACAGAAAAATCTGCCTCAGAAAATGAGCAAAGGTTATTTCCTCTTCGCTGGATTGTTACTTCTCTCACATTATATATACCCAAACACTGAGTTCAAAATAAAAAGATTCGTGTTTGAAAACTCCATTTTCTGGAAGACACAAACGCCAACGGTCTGCCATGACACCTCAGACGTATATTTATATACATAACCATCACACAATTCCCTTTTGGAGTAAACAATTGTATGCCTGGTGCCCCAAAGGAGTAAGAAAGAATAAGCCAAATAAATTAAAGATGAAATAATTAAAAAGACACTGGGCAAAATCCAGTTCACCCCAACACTATCCACTTGTGCTTCTGTTGCAATACTTCATTGCTTCTACTTACAGGCTTTATACTTTTCATTTTAAATATTCACTTCTCTCTTTTTGAAGATCTAACCATGATATTCAGAGGCCTTCTTCCCTTCCTCTGGTCCCTTTGTTTTTCCTTCATTCTTTCAATCTTCCTTCATTCTTTCTATAACAACTCAAGCATAATTTATACTGGTACTCTCTCTATCCGATCCTCATTCATTTAACTGTACATCCTCACAGAGTCATGCTAGGAATGAGATGGCCAATTTCTAAGTTTGATACATAAATAAAATAAATTCAGCACCCATTAATTATTGGTCTCTCTGCTGGTTGCTTTATCATGTGTACTTCTTAAGTATTCCACTGCCACTGCATTCAATTTAATTTTGATTTCTCCCATCGTGTCCAGTTCTTACTTCCATTAAAAAAAAGAAAATACTCCCTTTTCTATACAGCCATTCTGGCTTCTTTCAATATACATTCCTTGCCATGGAACATATAGCTTCTAGCAGTATTTGCACATCTGAATTTCTTTTCATTCATTTTCCCCATCTTTAACAAAAAAGTTTCTAAGATACCTACAATCCTTGATGTCAAGTTAGAAGCGCGCTTGTGCTGTTGCAGCCATTATTGTTTCTCAGCTTGCCAACGAACTAGTGGGGAGGGAAGGGGGAAATGGAATATGGGCTCCCAAAATGAAGAAGACAAGCCATGAGGACCAAGGACACTCCATCAGGTGTTTGCCAAACCCCAAAGACACTTTCTCATAACAATACCGTGACATTTAATTGGACAATGTGACCTGCACTAATGGTGGGGGAGAGAACTCTAATTAGGTGAATTGTGTAGGAATTAGCTAGAGCTGGTTTTGCTTTCATCGGTGCCAAAATGATGTACTCAATAAAGTTCTGCATTCAGAGATTGGATCATCTCGATCGTGCTTGCTTGTTTGGGTTTCTCAGTCTAAACCTTGACACTCGACTTACAGCCATTCATCTAGTGAATGTTCAAAGTTACAACAGCATTGAAAAAAGTGACTTACAACCAGTCCTCGTATTTACAACTATCGCAGCATCTCCACAGCCATGTGATCAAATTTTGCTTGGCAACTGGCATATATTTATGACAGTTGCAATGTCCCAGGGTCATATGATTGCTACTTGCAATCTTCCCAGGCTTATGACATAGAAAGTCAATGGGAGAAGCTCGAGTTACTTCATGACCATGTAATTTGCTCAACAACTGCACTGATTCGCTTAACATCTATGGCAAAAAAGGTCATAAAATCAGGCACTACTCACTAAACCGCCTTGCTTAGAGATGGAATATATGGCCTTGCTTGCAGTCGTAAGCCGAGGACTACCTATACATTAATTCATTTATTTGATCTTGTTTTTCATCATTTCTAAATAACCAGCAAATGTTCCCTGCATTCTCCCTATCAAGCATAACTATTTTGAATGTTGATATATTTATTTTCAGGTCAATATACCTTGTGGTTTCATACAATCTAAACATTTGTTGTAAATATGAATCCTTTATATTCTAGATTCAAACTTGGACCAATCACTTTCTCTCTCAACCCGATCCAAGAGTTGCTTTTATGGGAAAATTAGAAGGCAGGAGTATTAGATACGTTTCTCATCTTATTTATAAAAAATAATAAAGGCGGGATTAAAAAAAACTTTAAAAATATGTATAATAAACATGTACCCCAGTTTTCAAATTCAGGATTAAAACCTCAACGCCTAGGACGTTGCAAAAAGTTTCTCCTATTTTAAAATGGCTGCAATCAATATCATGAAATAAAATGTTCTACTTTGCAAAGGACATGAACTACAGGATCCTCATCCTTTCCCAGAAAGAAACATCAAACAAAATTGATAATATAATAGTATGATAAACTGGGCACGACCGTATCATTTCAGTCACTGAATAAGGATTTGTGGAGACAGAATATTTTAGAGAGGTAAATGGTAGGAGATTCAGGACTTCTCCATGCAGTGCATACCTAAAACTATGGAACTCACCAGCACAAGATCTACAAACTTGGAACAACTCTAAAGGGAAATTAGAGAAAAATCATGGCTACAAGTTGTTGTGGTTAGAAATTACATCAAAGTGGAGGCCAAGTACACTTCTGCTCCCAATTCCTAGTTAAGGAATTATGGCTTCGCAAAACTACCACGCTGGGCCAGAATAAAATACCTTCCTTCCTTCCTTCCTTCCTTCCTTCCTTCCTTCCTTCCTTCCTTCCTTCATTTTATATTTCATGTATCTGAATCACATACCTGCCTCAAAGAGGGATTCTTGCTAGAATAAAACATCAAAATATAAAACAATACATGAAAATTAAAATTTTAATAAATCTAATTTTAGAATTAATTTTTAAAAAAAACTATAAAAGTTTTTAAAGTGGAAAGAATAATTAAACCCTGTTAAAATTAGACGATAAAGGTGAAGAGAGGGCTTGCATGGCACCAACCCACCCCGTGTGCTTCTTTGGGCACCGCACGCACAGCCGCAGAGCCATGTTTTAACTCTCTTTCGGAAGGCTAGGAGAGCGGGGGCCTGCCTCACTTCTGGGGGGAAATTATTCAGCAGAAAAGGCTTTCTTCCTAGATCTCTGCTATATAGATCAATGCTTGTCAAACCTGGGTAAATTACCGAAAATTGGGAAAAAGTGGGTTTTTTTCTTTGGGTTAACGACCTATGAACAATTAGGCATCACAGAAGGGAAATTTACAATTGCCCTGTGTACTAAATATACATTTGAAAATCTCAAAAAGTATGAAGTACTCAAAATGAAGATGAAAATTGATGAAACTATCCAAGGTAACTTGTTAAAATGACATAAAGATGATTCCACAATATTATTTTCATAATGTAGGTGGTCCTCAAGTTAAAACCATTCCTTCAGCGGCCATTCAAAATTACAACCGTGTTCAAAAAGATGACGTTTACAAAGTTTGTTACGACTTCCTAATAAGCGGTTTTGTATAATGAAGGAAAAAAATTGGGTAAGTAACTGGTATAGGTTTTGGGTTGGATCCAGTACAGATCTTCTTGATCTAAATCTGTCATTGCCTGATGGATTCCACGTGTCTTGCCCAGAATGAAGAATTTAAGCCATGCTTGTTTAACTAGGAATAATTTGCACCAAGTCTGGGAAACTAAGAATGATACTTACATAATTTAATAATTAAGCCCTCATATCCCCCTCTAAGATATTGAGTCTGCTTATATGGTTATTGAAAATTAGATTCCGAACAGAGAACTCCCTTCAAGAAGATAGTGGTAATAATATAATTGCAACGGAAACAATATATTATATTCAAGGGTATGAAGGTTATATTGCCTATAGTTGAGGGAATCTGGTTTTTTGTAAAACTCATGAATTATTGATCACCAATAGGCATTATACTAATACAAGACTCTTAAATATACAGTATGATTTGAATTCAAGAAATCTCACTGAATTTGGCACGAGACTGAAAAAAAACAAACTGCCTATTGCTCAAAATCACTTCATATATCATAAACAGTCTTTAATGAACAAGTACAGTTAACTTGTATTAAGCTATTATTCCACACTGCAACTAATAGGGCTGGGAATCATTGTATATTGGCTTATTTATTAAATATATGCACTTCCGCACTGAGAAATTATCACAATTGTCATATTATTAGGGGACACTGGGAAAGATTCTGGTCTAACCAAATTATAGAGGCAATCATGCAACTTTTTTTGACTGGTTTTAGCAAAATGCCCGCTTTTTATTTTTTTATATTTCTGCTTTTATTGCATTTTAAGCCACACATTTCCAATAGTCATTTCCGATAATGAGATGAATGGCATATAAATTTTGTAAATAAATAAATATCAAACTTCTAGCATTCCTGATTTCTTGTTTTTTCCCCCCACTCATAATCCTTTCCTACTGGAACAATACATTTACCAGACACTGGTTATCTTTTTTTTTTTTAAATTAACCCTGTAGAAATGCTTATATTCATATTTATAGGATTTATATTTACAGAAGCTGGCCTTTTGCTGGTGAATAAAAATAAACTTTCCCGCACCGTTTTAAAGATCCACTCCTGAAGATTTATTTTCAGAGTCCCATCCAACAATAAATTCCCTGTTTGCATCGGATCCTAAACAAGACTGTCTTTGTAAAGATACTACTGAAACATTCTATAATATTTGACAGGCGTTTTATTGGAATGGTTTTTTTATCTTTTTATTTTTTGAACAGCATTCTCTTCCGTTTATCCTTTTTTCTCTCTCTCTGCTGCGCTGATATTTTTATCTTTCGGTAAGTCAGAAACCGTTATCCAATTCCGGGATCCCTTCCTTTTTTTTCCCATTGTGATGAACTTGTGGCTGACCAAAAACAGAGTAATCCACTTCTTTTTCTACCTCTTCAATAGTTACAAAAATTAGGAGGGGGGCAAGCAATGATAGGGAGGGGAACGTCAAGCTTTCAAACCCCCTTTCCCAAAGCAAATTCCCCTAACATGCCCCCCCCTAATTCTTTACGGATTATCCTCCCGGATGGTTTACCTTTTGCACACCTGCGCTCAGGTGAGTTGCTGCTCGCGTTTTCAGCACGAAACTCCCTCCTTCAGCAGCAAACGCTCTGCCCAAACCCCGTCGCCAGTGCCGGGTAGACTTCTCTTTTGACAAACAGCATTGCTAATTTTGCAAACTGTTAATTGCAGAGCGCTAAGAGAAAACGAAACAAAAAATATATTATATATTTTTGCAAAGCGCATTAAAAGCTCCTGCCCGGGCAATTCAGCGCCGGACTTGGGGGTTAAACAGTTCGGCCCGGACTGGAAAAGATGCTCTTTTGCATAGCGGCACCTCCTACTCCTTCCTCACTGGCTCTGCCGCGACGGGGATTAATTAATAGATTACATTGGGAAAATGAAGTTAGCTAGAGACTTTACGGACCGCCCCAAACAGGATGGCTTCTGGCCCCGCCCACAACGTGGTAGCTTTTTAATTTTTAATTTATTTTTTAAAGGCAAAACCATTTGTGGTCGGTTTGAAGCCTGGAGTTTCATTCTCACGTGCACGTATCGGAAATGAGGTGTTTCTAAAAGCTCTTTGATACTCTCTTCAGACTCTACATAAATGACCTCTGTGATCGTATTAAGAGCAAATGCATTCTTTTCGCTGATGATGTAAAGCTGTTCAATACCATAGACAATACTGCTACTCTTCAAAAAGATCTTGACTATGTATCAGAATGGTCAAACAAATGGCAACTTCAAATCTCAACAAATAAATGCTCTGTCCTACATATTGGGGGGGAAAAAGAAAACAGAAAATAAAATACAGGCTGAATAGTCAAAACCTTGTTGATTATCCAAACTCCGTCAAGGATCTTGGAGTACTCATCTCTAAGGATCTAAGTGCTAGAGCCCACTGTAACTACATAGACAAAAAGGCATTAAGAGTTGTTAACCTAATATTACATAGCTTTTTCTCTTATAATATCACACTACTAACTAGAGCATACAAAACATTTGCTAGACCAATACTCGAATACAGCTCATCAGTCTGGAACCCACATTATGTATCTGATATTAATACAGTTGAGAAAGTCCAGAAATATTTCACAAGAAGAGTTCTCTACTCCACTACTCGTTGCAGAATACCTTATGCCACCAGACTTGAAATTCTAGACCTAGAAAATCTAGAACTATGCCACCTTCGGTCCGATCTAAGTATAGTATATAAAATTATACATTGCAATGTCCTGTCAATGAATACTTCAGTTTCAATCATAACAATACAAGAGCACACAATAGATACAAACTCAAGATAAACTGCACCAAACTTGATTGCAGGAAATACGACTTCAGCAACAGAGTGGTCAATGTCTGGAATACTCTACCTGACCCTGTGGTTTCTTCCCCAAACCCCAAAAACTTTAACCTTAGACTGTCTACTATTGACCTCACCCCTTTCCTAAGAGGTCTGTAGGGGGCGTGCATAAGCGCACCAACGTGCCTACCGTCCCTGTCCTATTGTTTCTTTTTATTTTTCTTATATGTATCCATTTCATGTATTCATAACTATGTTTATACTTATACCTATTATCTTGTAAGCGATTGTCAAATCAAATAAATAAATGAATAAATAAAACAGCTCAAGCACAGCGCAATCTAAAGGTTAACATTTTATCTTGCATCGAAAGCTGCTGTAATGAAAAAAAAATGTGATAAAATTGCTAATGTAATGGAAGAGTACAATAATCCCTTGCATGTTATGGTGTTTATTTCATTAGATGCGTGTAGCGTTATTAAATTCATACCAGGGAATTCTCCTCTTATTTATTTGTTTGTCATTTTTAGAAATAATTCAAGGCCAAAAAAATGCCTTAATACCCCTTCGTCCTCCTATTTTTCCCCACAACCCTGTGAGGTGGGTTTGGCTAAGAGAGACTGACTTGCCCAGAGGTGGTATTCAGCAGATTCTGACCAGTTCTGGAGAACTGGTAGTGGAAATTTTGAGGAGTTTGGAGAACTGGCAAATACCACCTCTGACTGGCCCTGCCCCCATCTATTCTCTGCCTCCCAATGAGTCCCAACTGATCAGCTGGGTCTTCTTTGGTTGCCCTGCACAGGAGAATGGAGCTGGAAAGCAGGTTAGTGGGGTTGGGAGAGAATGGGGATTTTGCAGTAACTTTCCCCTGCCATGCTCACCAAGCCACGCCCACCAAGTCATGCCACACCTACCAAGCCACGCCCACAGAACCGGTAGTAAAAAAAATTGAATCCCACCACTGGACTCGCCCAAAGTCACCCAGCTGGCTTTCACATTTAAATTAGAACTAGAACTCACATTTTCTTGGTGATTGGCCCAAAATCACCCCAAGTTGGCTTTTGTGGCCAAGGTGGGACAAGAACTCGCTGTCTCCCAGTTCTAATCTGGTATCTTAACCATTATACCAAACGGGCTGTATTTTTCCTCCTAATAGCCCTGTAAGGTAGGTTGGACTAAGAGTCCCAAAGCTACTCCTGGGGCCTTCGAGAGACAACAGTGACACAGTTGAATTATATTTGCACAATGGGGTAAGCTTGTGTGGCTTGAAGTTACTTTTTGTGGCTGATTATGTTATCTGAATTGGGACCGCAGGATTAACGCCGGCTTGAGCACACAGCACAAATGCAGGAAATGGATTGATTCACTCATCTGTACGGGTAATCCTCAAGTTACGACTACAATTGAGCCCCACTTTTATGTTGCTAAGTGAGTTTGTGAGTTTACAACTTTTCTTGCCACAGTTGTTAAGTGAATCATTGCATTTGTTAAGTTAGTAACACGGTTGTTAAGTGAATCTGGTTTGGCCATTGATTTTGCTTGTCAGACGGTCCCAAAAGTTGATCACATGACCCCAGGACCCTGCAACCCTCATAAATATGAGCCAGTGTCCGAATTTTGATCATGTGACTGTGGGGATGTTGCAAGGGTCGTAAGTGTGAAAAATGGCCATCAGTCACTTTTTTTCAGTGCCGTTGCAACTTTGAATGGTCACTACATGACTGATTGTAACCCAAGAACTACCTGGATGACATCCTGTACGCGTAGAGGATGGGAGTGGTAACAAGCATCGGAAGACAGAGAAACATTTATTTTTTTAATGTTTTATTTATTTATTTATTTATTTTTGTCAAGTGATTATAAGATAACAGTTATAAGTATAAACATAGTTATGAATACATGAAATGGATACATGTAAGAAAAATAAAAAGAATCAATAGGACAGGGGGGGTAGGCACGTTGGTGGGGAAGAAACCACAGGGTCAGGTAGTGTATTCCAAATATTGACCACTCTGTTGCTGAAGTCGTATTTCCTGCAATCAAGTTTGGTGCAGTTTATCTTGAGTTTGTATCTATTGTGCGCTCTTGTATTGTTATGGTTGAAGCTGAAGTATTCATTGACAGGTAGGACATTGCAATGTATAATTTTATGTACTATACTTAGATCGGACCGAAGGCGACGTAGTTCTAGATTTTCTAGGTCTAAAATTTCAAGTCTGGTGGCATAAGGTATCTGCAATGAGTAGAGGAGTGGAGAACTCTTCTTGTGAAATATTTCTGGACTTTCTCAACTCTACTGGTATCAGATATGTAATGTGGGTTCCAGACTGATGAGCTGTATTCAAGTATTGGTCTAGCAAATATTTTGCATGCTCTAGTTAGTAGTGTGATATTATCAGAGAAGAAGCTATGTAGGATTAAGTTAACAACTCTTAATGCCTTTTTGGCTATGGAGTTACAGTGGGAAAAATGTTTAAAAGGAAAAGAAAGTTTTAAAAACCCAGCTTTGAAAATACAGATAATCCTCAATTTTATAACCATTGTTTTACTGACTCTTCAAAATTACGATGGCACTGAAAAAAACTGACTTACGACCAGTCCTTGGACTTACAACTATTGCAGCAGCCCTGCAGTCACAAAATTCAGGCTCCAGGCAGCCAGTATAGATATAGGATGGGTGCAGAGTCTCAGTGTCTCGTGATGCCATTTGCGATCTTCCTAACAAACTTCCAACAAGCAAAGTCAATGCAGAAAGCCGAGTTTGCTTAATGACTGCGTGCCATCACAGTAGTTTGCTTAGTGACCATGGCAAAGAAGGTTGTAAAACCGGACACAGTTTACTTAATAACTGCCTTGCTTAGCAATAAATGTTCCAGTCCAGATTGCGGCCATTAAGTTGATTACCTGTAATAATAATTTTAAAGAATATGAACATGTTTGTATATTATAAAACGTTGGGTACTTATATGGGATGGGAACAGAATATCCTGGAAAAGGGCATTTTTTTTGATGCCAGGCATGCTGATAAACCAAAATCAAATTCTAATTAACACCACCAATTTAAAAAAAAAAGTATGCTCAGAGCACAAGTTTTTGAGTGCGGCAGTCTCCTTGGGGTGTTTTCTGGCCAATTGTGCTTTATTTTATCCCATATTTAATGTAAACTTGCTAAAGTCTTTTACATTAATTTAAACAATCTTGGGCGGTTTAGTTTGCCATCAGTTATTTGAGTTATTTGTCTTCTAATTCTTTATTTGCTGTAAACTACATTGGAAATAACAGGTTAAAGCAGGGTATAAATTCACAGATTGTACCATCTCCATAGTCCTTTAAACAGTCATAAAGATAAAGAAACATACAGAGTGGAACTTACAGTCTAGGATATACAACTACAAGTATGTATTTAAATATCTTAGGGTAAAAATCAATGGGGGTAAAATTGCTTGATTATAGAGGGTGTTTCAGAAATGCTGAGTTTCTCTTGGTGTAGTATTCTATTATTAATGAACTCCTCTGATTCAAAAAAAACAATACCACCCTAATCCACGATTTCTAAAACTTGGCAATTTTAAGACACATGGATTTCTGGGAGTTAAATACTGAATGTTGAACTCTGTACGTCTTAAAGTTGTCAAGTTTGGGAAACACTGCCCTAATCCAACAATACCAGCTGTTCCATTTGCAATATAGGTAGTCCTTGATTTACAATTATAACAGAGCTCAGAATTTTACCTGAAAGTCATAACAGTTGTAAATTGGGGCACCCATGTGACCAGATGTGATTTTATGACTTTTTTGTGGTGATTATTAAGTAAACATGGAAGCCCTTAAGTAAATCCAGGTATCCCCTATGGGTGTTTTTTCATGGCAATCAGCCCAAAGGAAATTGCAAAAAAAATTATAAATTTCATTTATAAAATGAAATTTTTATAAATTTCATGGGACCATAGTATTCTGCA